AATCTCTCTGATCTGCTACAACCGTATGTCCCACCACGCTCCCTGAGGTCAGCGGACCAGTTGCTCCTCACAGTTCCAGGAACTCGTCTTAAGCGCAGAGGGGACAGGGCCTTCTCTGTAGCAGGACCAAGACTTTGGAACAAGTTACCTCTGCTTGTCAGACAGGCCCCCTCCCTCTCGGTTTTCAAGTCCCATTTAAAAACCCACTACTATTCGGTGGCTTTCAACACCAGATGATCTGTGTTTTGAACATGTATGCTCCACACTCGTTAGTCGTCATTATCTGCATCATTTTTATGTCTATATTTCTGATTTACTTCATTTTGTATTTTGCTTTGTGTTTCATCTGTTGTTCTGTCTGTACAGCACTTTGGTTGGCCTTGTCGCTGTTTTAAGTGCTCTATAAATAAAATGGTATGGTATAGTATTATTTTGGCCAGGCCCGAATTCCAGGTTGGGCCGGGCCAGGTGCAGGCTCAGGATAGAAATGACAAATCTACCGGGGGGCTTTCTGGGTGCAGTTTGCATATTCTGTCTGTGCGTGTGTGGGTTTTCTCCGGGTACTCCAGTTTCCTCCCACAGACCAAAAACATGCACGTTAGGGTGATTGGTAACTCTAAATTGTCCCTAGGTGTGAGTGAGAGAGTGAATATTTGTCTCGTCTGTCTCTGTGATCGACTGGAGACATGTCCAGGGTGTCCCCCACTTCTCGCATGGTGATGACAGACATGGGCACCAGTGACCCCCGTGACCCGAAAAGGAACAAGCTGGTAAAGATAATGGATGGATGGGTGTAAAGATGGGAAACGTGCATGGGTCTGTGCAGGGCAGAGCCTGAACACAGCATGTTCGACCTGAAACTAGAGTAAGACCAGAAGGATCAGACTCGTCTGCTTGAAAACTAAATTATAAAATGAAGTGTGATTTTATAACAGATCACACTCGGACGTAAAAGAGCTGCATGGTCCCTGCAGGCCACCTGATCCTCTTCATGCAGTTTGAATCACAGCGAGCAGCTCTTCATCACCACTTTGTGCTGCTGCAACAGAACACAGCCCCCGTGCACGTCGTGCTCAGGATCCTAAACCTCGTGGGGCTGCTGCTTCTAACAGCCGACTGCAGCGAGCAGGAATCTGCCGCTCCGGTTCCTGCTCAGCCCGTTGTTTTGTCCTGTTCGTCCACTGCAGATTAAACCTCTTAAGCTCCCAAATCTGTTGCACTCCCAGGTTTGAGTCCCAGCACTGTGCACGTGTTTAATCCAAAACGGACTGATTCAGGTTTGTCAGAGGCTCCTTCTCTCAGCCTCCCTCTGGGACGTTTGAAACGAGGTTTGTGAGTTCAAGAACAAACGGAGCTCTCGTTTTTAAAAAAGCATCAGTTTTTTTTTTTTTTTTTTGTGTGTTTGCAGTTTCTTGCTTTTATCTCTTGAGATAAAGTCTGTTCCTGTTGGGCGAGTGCACAATTTTCCTAATTGATTTGAACAAGCGCGTCCCGGATGCCCTCGTTCTTTGTCACCGAGCGGACTGATTGGGTTTCTGCTCATCTGGGACAATGACAGTCTTTTTAATGACCAGTCAGTCTTTGACTCAGCGGATCTGCTCCACATAAAATGCTCGAGCTTTGCGTGCTAGAGGCGAAGGCATGCTGTTTGTATTTATTAATTTTTCACAGAAGGCCATCAGAACCATGAGCCCGAGTGACCCCCAAACGGGTCTGCTGCATGTGTAATGCCTGCTCTGCAGGGGGCTGGCGAGGCAGTAATGAGTTGACCCTGGGGGATTATCTGAGATCAGCTTGATTCGCTGCCCGGCCTGGTTTTTGTCCGACTGAGCAACAAAAAACGATCCAACAGACGAGCTGCATCCACCAGCTTCTGCTCAAACTGTCCCATCACTGACATCTCCCACTTTGACCTCCATCATCAGCATCTTCATCACGACACTCGGGGCGGCAAAACAAAGCAGGTGCGGTTCAGAAAGTGATGTGAATCAGCAGAAGGTCGTTTTATTTCACTCCAGATTATTATTGTCTGCAGCTGAAAGGTGAAGGAAAGCACAACTAAAACTAAAAGATAGAGTGGAAATTAAGTGTGGTAGTAGCCGAGAGTCATCCACAATGCATATTATGAGTTTTACTAAATTACAAAAGATTTTTGTTTGAAATCTCGCAATTGCCAACTTGGAGTCAACTTTGTCTGTCTGTTAGCAAAATATCTCATGGACCACTTGATGTTTTTTTATGAAACTTTCAGGAGATGTACTTCTAGAAATACGTTTAGGAGACAACCCAACTCAAGATGGCTGCCACAGCCAACTGAGCACAGTAAACACAAAAACAATTATAAATCAGTCTTTGTTGCATATAATGTGCCTAAATTTCAGGTAATGGTGTCTGAGAGTCATTTACATCACATGATTTGAATGCTACGTTTCACGCAAGATCTTTGCTTAAAACTATAGCATTTGGTGTTGGAGTCAACTATGTTTGTTAGCAAAATATTTTATAAACCACTGGATAGATTCTACTGAAACTTTCAGAATGTAATCAATAGATGTGCGACTGTAACTGATTCACTTTTGGAGTCGATCAAACTCAAGATGAACGCCACAGCTAGCTGACCTTAGCCATCACATAATGGCTTTAACTCTGTGAATTTTGCAGAGAATGGGCTAAAGTTTGATGTGGTAGTAGCGAAGTCTAATACACAGCCCAGAATGTGACATTATTATTAATTATTGTTTCCATATTATTTTTAAGGTTTGACCAAACAACTATAATTTAATTTCTCATCATGATGATTTTAGTCTTAAACTCCGACATGAAGGCCTCTAGGCAATGTGCATTCATTTTAAAGAATGCTTGGTCTTTAATTCTTGATTTATTCTTTTCTGAGCAGATTAAGATACAAACACAAAAGCACAAAAAGAAGATAATTATAGACTTTTTTCTTTTTTTCTACTAATGCTCTTCAGCTTATCGGGGTCAGCTGTTCTGACAAAGACAGGCAAACTACCTGACCCGGTTCAGAACTGTACTGGCAGATGGTGCAGATGAGGGACGGGATTAAACCTCTGGAGACGCCCAAAAACCTGTCTCATTGTCACGTAACAGCTGAGTCAGGAGGGAGGCGAGGGTCTTCCACCCCTTCGACCAGTTTATTCTGCGCTGAAACCAACTCAGCTTCCTGAAGCTTTGACCTTTAATTCTCTGACTGACGGGACTTTACTGTCTGTTATATTTTTAATGCACAACAAGGAGAAAAAAAAGGATGAAATTAGTTTTGTGAATCTTTTTCCCAGAAATCGTTGTTTTTCTCAATAAGATGGAGCACAGACGTCCAGATGTCCTCCTCACAGACGTCCAGATGTCCTCCTCACAGACGTCCAGATGTCCTCCTCGTCAGCTCTGTTTTAGTTTTCAGGTCAGAGCGATGAGCGAGGCTCGGGTAGTGTTACCTAACAGAACACATGGCCCGCTTCAAACAGCCGGGTCACCTTCAGCTGCTGTAGGAGCCGGTGCTGGATCATTTCTCAGAGACGTCCCAACAGCAGGAGATTAAACTGCAGCTGCAGACTCAGTGAAGTGTTTGTGTCCTTACCTCTCTCCTGGTGGTCCCACCGTCCTCCGACCTCTCAGGCAGGACGCCCTGCTGGAGGCTGGAGGCTGAGCTGCTGACCTGTGGACCAGTGGGGGGGTGCTGGGTGGCAGGGGGAGGCTGTGCGTTGGGGGCAGTGGATGGGAGGGTGTGCTCCACCTGATGCAGGCCCGTGGACCTGCTGACCTCCCCACTGTAGGCAGCCTGGTAGCTGGTCTCAGGTGGGGCGTGGGTGGGCTCGGTCCCTGGGCTGGAGTACTGGGCTGGTGGGGGTTTCCTCACACTTTTGGCTGGTTTCACCCCCGTCCACGGCCGGTACTCTTCCCTGGAGGGAGGAAGATGCATCAGAACGACTTCAGATTAATGAACGAAAGAAAAGCAACCTTTGTGGAAATTATAAACCAAAATATCAGCTGAAAACAAATACGAACACCGAGCGCTGAATGACAGCTGAACGTTGCCGAAGAAGCTGAAACAGAGTCGTTAAACAAAAAAGGAGCAACACACAAAATAAAGGCTAGAACAAGCGAAACTCTAGCTAAAAGTAAAAAAAATAAAATAAAAACACTAGCTAAAAGAAGCAAAAGACCAACTAAAATCTAAAAAGCTCAATGAACTTGAAGTTCACTCATGGAGTTCATGCTCAATAATCCAGGTAAAAATCCAACAGTGTTCAGTCAGGTCATCTGGATGGTTTCTTTTTTTGCTGAGACGTTTCGTCCGTCATCCAAAGGACTTCTTCAGTCTGAGGAGACACCAAACAAACTGATTCCCACAAAATCATACTCCATAGTGGGAAAACGTTTGCTGGTGCTAAAATGGCCTCCAGGGCCCGCCCTCTCCCCCATCAACTCCTCTGAGACAGTCATGCCAAAGTGGTTCAAAACACCAAAGTTCATGCTCAATTATCCGGCAATAAAAAGCAGAACATTTGCAAAAGGCTAAAAGGAACAAAAGACTAAAAGAAAAAAGAAAAAAAGCTAAAAAAAGCAAAATGCTAACTAAAAACCTGTGAATAAATAATTCTAAAAGAATTAAAAACACTGGCTAAAAGCTAAAAGAAGAAGAAACACTTAACTAAGAAATAAAAAAATAACACTAGCTAAAAGCTAACAGATGCAAAACTCTATAAAAGTTAAACAATAAAAACACTAGCTAAAAGAGCAGAACACTAACTAAAAACTAAAATGCAGAACATTTACAAAAAGCTAAAAGGAACAAAACACTAAAAGTTAAAAAAGCAGAACAGTGGCTAAAAATAGAAAAACACTAACTAAAACCCTAAAGCAAAAAGAATAAAAAAAAAACACTAGCTAACACTAGCTAAAAGCTAAAGAAGCAGGAACACTTAACTAAGAAATAAAAACAGAAAATTAGCTAAAAGCTAAAAGAAGCAAAATTTAAAAAGAAAAAAAAAAACACTATAAAAAAGGAGCAAAACACTTAACTAAAGACTAAAAATGTAGAACAATAAAAACAGCTAAAAGAAGTAAAACACTTACTAAAAACTAAAAATGTAGAAAAATAAAAACAGCTAAAAGAAGTAAAACACTTACTAAAGACTAAAAATGTAGAACAATAAAAACAGCTAAAAGAAGTAAAACACTTACTAAAAACTAAAAACCTGTGAATAAATAAAAGCTAAACGAATGAAAACACTGGCTAAAAACTAAAAGAAGCAGGAAAACTTAACTAATAAATAAAAACAACACTATAAGCTAAAAGAAGAAAAACTCTAGCTGATGACCAAATGTAGAACAATAAAAACTGCTAAAAACTAAAAAGCACGGATAAAAAGCAGAATATTTGCAAAAAGCTAAAAGGAACAAAACGCTAAATATAAGTTAAAAATCAAAACAGTATAATTAAAAATACCAAAACACACTGGCTAAAAGCTAAAGAGGCAGGAACACAACAAACAGAATACAAAGCTAAAAGTAGCAAAAGACTAGCTAAAAGCTACATGCTGGAGTTGATCACAGATCATCGTTTGGAAAGACTTAAGTTCTCAGTATATGTGAAGTTAAACATAAAAACCATCTAGAAGTTTTGAGGTCACCTCCTGAAAATAAATGCCTCTGAATGTTCAGGTGATGTTTGGATCAGAACCAGCCTCACAATAAATAAGGAATAAAGCAGGGGGGACAGCTCCTGGTGCTGGAACCGACCCAGCACGTACCTGTAGGAGCTGGTTTTGCTCTCCTCCATGCCCTGCTGCTCCCCGCACCTCCTCTGATCTCTGTCCCCCCCGGGGCTGCTCCCATCGTTATTAATCCAGGGGAAGTTCTCTTTCCTGGGAATGGGCCAGGGTCTGTAGTCCTGCTTGTACTGGGTCACGCTGGGGAAGGGCTGGTAGTCCTCCCGGGGTCTGTCCCTCCGCGCCCTGAACGACCCCCGCGCCCCCTCCGCTGCGGGCGCGCGCTGCGGGGGGGCCCTGGTGCGGGACTCCGAGTCCGTGAGCTGCTTGGTGACGGAGCGCACCTCCTGCTCCGAGATGTCCGAGTAGTTCTGGATGGTGAGCGGGACCGACAGGTCCGACTTGTCGAACTGGTTCCAGAAGCGAGCCAGGCAGCAGACCCTGCTGATGCACGGCCAGGCCATCCTCCCCCAGGAGGAGTTCAGATGGAGAGGGGAGGACCACCTACAGGAGGAGAGAAGGAGTGAAAGGATGGCTGCGGGTCCAGGAGCCCATCCTGTCAGCTGGCAGCAGGAGAGCCGGTCTGTCTGAGTCCTCCTCTCACGTGGTCTGTGACACCAGAACCTCCTCCTCATGCACAAATCCTCTGCACCTCCAGCCTGGTCCTGGATCAGCTGCTGTCTGATTGGACCCACAACCACACTCACTTCATTATGTTTGTTTATATATATATATATATATATATATATATATATATATATATATATATATATAGTGGGTGTGTTTGTGTGCAAATCGGTTAAATAAGTTTTTTCTCTCATGGCAGCTGTGAGGAGGTTACATAACTGTGGTGCAGAGATACAGGAAGGCTTTATTTTGAAGACACTGTCAGGGTAAAAACACTAGCTTAAAGCTATAAACTAGCTAAAATGAGCAAACACTAGCTAAAAGCTATAAACTAGCTAAAATGAGCAAACACTAGCTAAAAGCTATAAACTAGCTAAAATGAGCAAACACTAGCTAAAGGCTATTAACTAGCTAAAACGAGCAAACACTAGCTAAAACCTAAAAAAAAGTATAATTACTATAAGCTAAAAGAAACTAAACAGTAACTAAATGTTAAAACTACCCAAATTCAAACTAATGGTTAAGAAAAACCAGGAATAGATAAAAGTGAAAAAAGGATAACACAAGCTAAAAGTTTAAACAAGCAAAACACTAGCTAAAAGCTAAAAAGGTAACACAAGCTAAAAGCTAAAATAGATAAACTGAAAGCTGCAACAGGACAACAGATTGTATGGGAACATACAATGATGACAATATATAGCACATTATTAGGCCCGAGCAGCGAAGCGCTGCGAAGGCCTATTGTAATCGCTCTGTTCAGGCCCGAGCTGCAATTTTTTTCTGTCAAATGAATTGAATGAATTGAATTGAATTGAAATGAAAAAATATACAAGCTAAAAAAAAAGAATAACACAAGCTAAAAACTTGAGCAAAACACCAGCTAACACACCTACACCCCCCTGAACATAAGAGGATCTGCGGTGGAAGTGGTCTCCAGCTACAAGTACTTGGGTGTACACATGAATGACAACCTCAGCTGGAGCAACAACACCACCAGCCTGATCAAGAAAGCTCATCAGAGACTCTACTTCCTCAGTCGGCTGAGGCGAGCTGGTCTGAGAAGCTCAGTCCTCAACTCCTTCTACAGGTGTGCAGTGGAGAGCATCTACACCTCCAGATGCAGGAAGAGGGCCACCTGCATCATGAAGGACCCCACCCACCCAGCACACACACTTTTTGCCCCACTCCCCTCAGGAAGGAGGTTAAGGAGCATTAAGTGTAGAACCACTAGACTGAGGAACAGCTTCTACCCTGAGGCTGTTAGACTCATGAATCTCTAACTAGAATAATCACTGTGAAAAACCATATCATGTTGCTGCTGATCTGTTTCATGTTGCTGCTGATCTGTTTCATGTTGCTGCTGATCTGTTTCAATGTTGATGTGTTCATGCGTGCACATCTGCTCACAGACTCATGTTCATGTTTGTGCTGATGTTCAATGTTTTATGTTATGAGTGCTTAGTGTATATTTAGTTGATGTTTTTCTTAGTTCATATCTTAGATGTTATTACTGTTTTTCTTATACATTTTATTGTTGGATGTAACTGGGACCCTGCGTACATAATTTCGCTCCACCACATGTACCACATGAGGTGCGAATGACAATAAAGAAACTCTGACTCTGACTACTAATGCAGAGAACTATGTTCAGGTTCTAGAAACACATATGCTCCCATCTAGACGTCATCTCTTTCAGGGAAGACTCTGCATTTTTCAACACAATAATGCCAGACCACATTCTGCAGCAATCACAACATCATGGCTACGTAGGAGAAGGATCCGGGTACTGAAATGACCAGCCTGCAGTCCAGATCTTTCACCTATAGAGAACATTTGGTGCATCATAAAGAGGAAGGTGCGACAAAGAAGGCCCAAGACGATTGAACAGTTAGAGGCCTGTATTAGACATGAATGGGAGAGCATTCCTATTTCTAAACTTGAGAAACTGGTCTCCTCTGTCCCCAGACATCTGTTGAGTGTTGTAAGAAGAAGGGGGGATGCCACACAGTGGTAAAAATGGACTTAACCCAACTTTTTTTGGGATTTGTTGATGCCATGAAATTTGGAAACAACAGATTTTTCCCTTAAAATGATACATT